AGTATGCAAACTTCGAATTTGTCAACAGCAGGGAAATGGAACTATGAGGTGGCCTCTTTTTGTATTATGTAACCATGGGGTGGCCTGTTGTTGTATTATGTAAGTTTGGAAATAGGATTTTATGCTATGAGGTGGCCTCTTTTTGTATTTGTGCGTATACAGTTTATGGGTGTCCAGTTCAGTAGCGATATAGCAGCAATAACTATATAATAAACATGCGTATAATGGCAATATTATGTCAATAAGAGTACAATACATAGGTGATAGAGTTACAATATGATCGTATTACAGTACGTACTGCATCAGAATGTTTTTCAAATTATTTGGTCCTCAAAAAGTCAAGAAAAAAAATATTAAGTAATTACAACCTGGAAAAAGGATGAAGTATACATCCCTTAAAAGACATATGGCCTACATTACAAACCTTCAAAATGAACTCTATATATATAATGCATGCCTTGTAGCACCATCACACCGATAATTGGACAAAAACTGAAAATTGGATAAATGGAAATAGGAAACAGGGACACATGGAAAATAGGAAAATTGGAAACGAAGTCCCACAGTGGAAATGGGAAATAAGACAATTACCATATTGGACAATTTAAATTACTTTCTCAATTATGCAAAGTATGCAACTTTTTATAATTACATAATGGAAAAATAGGAACATTGAAAAATTGGAAAACTGGAAATAGAACAAAAGGAAACTTGGGAAATTGCAAAATAGGATAAAATAGGCACAAAAAATGAAAAATTGGATAATTGGATAATTGCATAATTGGATGACAGATGGAAAATAGGAAAATATGAAAAATGGAAAAATGGAAACGAATTGAGATTGCTGAAATGAGAAATAAGACAATAACCATATTGGTCAATTTGAATGAGTTGATCAATTAGGCAAATAGGCAAATCCCTTTTTTGAATTACATAATGGGAAAATGACCAAGTTCGGAACATCCAAAATAGAAATATATGACAAAAAGGCATACAGTGAACTGGGTAATAACTCCCGCCCAATACTATCCCGCCTAACACTCCCGCCCAATACTATCCCGCCTAACACTCCCGCGAAGCCCTCCCGCCAATGACTCCACCTAATCCCTCCCGCCACTAACTCTCTCTGTTACTCCAGGTCATTAAAACCTGCCTATATTAATCAACCCAGCTGTTTGAAATGAAAGCTTCCATCACATTAACTCCTGCTTGCAGCCATTATCTTCCCCGCTGATTTCACTCACATCGCATTTAGTCCCCCTTTTTTCCAATGAAGTCATACACCAGCCTACATTAAATATCAAAGACCATGGACCATAACCTCACACCAAACCCAACGCTTTCAATTACTGAAGGAGGGGAGACTGAAACAGAAGCCAAGTCACCCAATTCACTCACTGCAGACTTGGTCCATGGCATGCAGCAATGTCGAGGCAATACCATGTTTTGGAAAAATCGTCATGCAGACATAGTATCAAAAATTGTGGAGGGCCAAGCTAGATGGGATGTCATAAGAAAGCGCACAATTCGCTCTCGTTATCATGCCCGCATGCATCTCGTACATATAAAGGCAATCAAACGAAAAATTGAAATTGGCCATACCACTGCAATTATGGTATTCAAGGAATCAGAAGAAATGGCCAAGTTGAAGCAACAACAAGTGGAAAGGGGCGTATAATGGCAATATTATGTCAATAAGAGTACAATAGAGAGATGATAGAGTTACAATATGATCCTATTACAGTACGTACTGCATCAGAATGTTTTTCAAATTATTTGGTCCTCAACAATTTGGTGAAAAACAAAAAAAAAAGTCATTACAACCTGGAAAAAGGATGAAGTATACATCCCTTAAAAGACATGTGGCCTACATTACAGACCTTCAAAATGAACTCTATATATATAATGCATGCCTTGTGGCACCATCACATCCTCCCCTAAATTACAGAAACATGACACCCCAAAACCTCATGCTCCTTCCTCTTTCAACCCCTAAATTATCCATTGGATGCCCAATACTAGATCACTGCTTGGGGGGTGGGATACCCTGCAACTCCATAACAGAATTGGTAGGGGAGAGTGGTTCCGGGAAGACGCAACTTTGTCTCCAACTTACGGTACGAGCTCAGCTCCCACCCTCACATGGCGGACTAGGGGGCTCCTCCGTCTACATATTCACAAAATTTAGCTTCTCATTTCGTCCATTGCAACAACTAGGCAACCTTTATCATGCATCATACCCCAACTTAATAAGGTTGGAGCCATTGGAAGACATATATGTTCGTGGTGTTCATGATGCTCAAGAACTCATCCATGTCCTTGGAGACATAGAAGCATTTATTGCCATTGATCACACCCGCCTACCTGTCAAACTCATTGTCATTGATTCCATTGCTGCATTGTTCCGATCACAGTATCAGACAACACTGGCAGATTTGAAACGACGGTCTAAAATGTTCTTCAACATATCTGGGACATTGAAGGGTTTAGCAAATAAGTTTGGGTTGGCGGTGGTTGTCACCAACCAAGTGGTGGATTTTATTGGGCCACATGATGGAGTGAATGGGGTGAGGTTGGGAAACTAGGAGTCCCTGGACACATCAGGCAGACAGGTGAGTCCAGCTTTGGGACTGGCTTGGGCACATTGCATAAATTCAAGAGTGTTCTTGGCAAGACATGAGCAATCTATTGGGGTTAACATTCGTAATGCTCCTTCAACAACTATATGTCAAACACATAGGACATTTCACCTTGTATTTGCCCCACATCTGGCCTATGCATCCGCCGAATTTGTAATCAGAAAAGAAGGTTTAGTCGGAGTATCAGGGTAACTGTGTAATAAAGGAATTCTAAGAACTTTAATGTTTTGGATCCTTTTGGAATTACATTCCAGGCCCTTTAATTTCGCACTCAAATTATAATAGCAATCTGGAAGCAATACCAGTGCAATAAAAGTACAATAAAATAGCAATCTGGAAGCAATACAACATGCTGTAGCAATGCAACCCAAATTATACAAATTTAAAACAATTCTCATTCAACATAACACGAAACCCACCACAAATAAAAGTAAAGTTTACATGACCTACCAAAGCAACACAAATCATATTGTCTAAGATACATTGCGCAATGGAATATTGTTTTTACAGGTGCTTTTATTGTGGCCTCCGAAACCACACCTTGAGCACTTTCTTCTAATGGTGCCCTCTCCTTGCGAGGGAATTCTTAACTTCTTTCGTCTGCCTGGCATGACCCTTGCAATGGGAGGCAGCACAACTTGACTTCGGACATCTTCAGGAATATCCCACCTTCCGTGAGGCTGTACCGGGTAGATGCTATCCGAATAAGCATCCATCCAAGTTTTCCGAGTGTAATACCGAGAAGCCTTTGAGTATACATTTACTTTCAAGAAGCGGCAAACTGCAACTACATGCTTGCAAGGTAGCTGCTCAAGCTGGAACTTTCTACAACTACAACTGTTGTTCGTCAAATCTACGAGGCCGTCCATATAACCGTCCAAAACATTATACTGTGCATTACTTACTTTAACCACATTCATCCTTGCAGCATCCTCCAACTTGTTCCTCAACTTCTTCTCTCCAAAATTGGGGCACAATGTTGTTGTGCAATTCAAAGCCAAGTCACGACGTTCGGTGAACCATTTCACAAGGAGATTCATAATTTCCCCTATCAAATGAACCACTGGCATCATCCTTGCAAACCTAAGGACTGAGTTGATTGACTCCGCAATATTTGTTGTCATTACATTGTAGCGGCGTCCATCCATGTGAGCTCTAGACCACTTATGTAACCCTGCGTCTTCAAGATATTGAGCAACATGTTCCTTTCGCTTAATCTTGCGAAAATGACAATCAAATTCAGCAATGGAATAAGATTTCGCAGCCTTCTCAAAGTGCATAAGTATGTGATCATGCTTTTTCAACTTGCAAGTGCGTTTCATGTTCCCCTTCATATGATAAAAGCATATGCCATGTTGCGCAGTTGGAAAAACTTTGTTCCACACATTCTCTATGCTAACATTGCGATAAGAAATAATAACAAGATTGGGACACTCACTAATGGCTTCATGAAGTTTAGTGAAAAACCAATGACATGATGCATCCAGCAACATGTTCCTTTCGCTTAATCTTGCGAAAATGACAATCAAATTCAGCAATGGAATAAGATTTCGCAGCCTTCTCAAATAATGAATGCTGGGCGCATGGAAGAACGAAACCCTCTAATACATGCGCCAACCGCCATAAATAAATACACAAAGTGATTGTTCTCATCAGTTTGGATGTGTGTTTTTGTGCCGGGATTCATACGCTCCAATTCATAGCAATAAGCTGGAAGGATATAATATGCCTCCTCCGCTGATCCTCTAATGGACAATAGAGCTAACTCCCTTTCTTTCCAAGCTTTCGAATAATGGATGCTAAAACCAAAGTTGTGTTTCACATCTCTCATAATGTCACTTGGTGTGTATATTGTCCGAGAATCCTTCAACTTCCTTTTAAATGAAGTGGCTACAAGTGCTGCAGTTGCTTGACGATGGTTGTCACTTACAACCCTCAAATCATATTCATGGACAGTTGTACACCTCACAATCATGAAGCTGTTATCTCCAAATCTTGATGCTCGGACTCGCCATGGGCATGGACGTTGACAACAAACCACAACCAACCTCTTAGTGCAAGACAATTGCACCTTAAATTCAAAATGGCCTCTTAATGCCATCAACTGTAACTCCGTCAACAATGCTTTCTTAGTAGAGAAAATTTGCCCAACTGTAATTTTCGGATTCCAATCACTTCGCGAAAACCCCCTATCCAAATATGCTTCTCCATT